CAAACGCCCGTATCTGTAATGTCATTAGCTATGCGTTGAATTCTAGTGCTAAACATTCTATTGTTTTATGTGTTCATTCTGTACGTATTGTTAGCGCTGTTTTTATTTTTTTTTATTCTGTATTTACTGTTGTCTTTGCGTAATGGCTTACCTTCATCCCGAGCTAAACGTAAAACGAGCGACAGCCCAACAAACCCAAACCGTTACCGGGGTTACTTGGGTTACTGGGGTTATTTGGGTTAAGCGTTAATCGTTTTGTTATTCTTTACTTGGGTGTGTTTTGTTTTTTCTGTTGTCGTTTGTAGAATGAAAGAACCGACTAATTTCTACCCAAGTACAACGAGCGACAGCCCTACAAACCCAAACCGTTACCGGGGTTACTGGGGTTACTTGGGTTAAGGGTATTTGGGTTATCCGGGTTAACTTGGGGTTACGGTTATGTTGCTTGGGTTAAAATGTTATGGGTTATCGGTTATCGGTTATCGGTTACGGGTTAATTATTTTTTTGCTTTGGGTCTGTTTTGTATGATCTGTTGTCTGTTGTCTTTTATCTTTTTTCTTTTGTACAACGAAACCAACCAAAGTAATAAGAGATTGACGACATCTGCAATCCAAAACCATTATTTGGGTGAGCGTTTTAGTGTCGTATGTTAAGTCTTGCTGTTATACAACTGTAAGCAAAGTTGGCATCTGCCGTGGGCCATGTGCCAAGTACCTTGTGTTGAGTATGAGTACTAAATGTTTGTTTTTTTTTTTTGCAAACTCAATCCCAAGTAAGCCTTACGTTGAAGTTTCCCTTAAGAATACTGATTACAGTGTTGTATCATACAGTTTTATATTTTGTAATGTCCTATTTGTACTGTAATAATATATCATATTGAACTGCTTTCGTTCTAATGTCTACCTTTTCTGTTCACGTCTTCCGAGTTGTCTCTGTCAATCAACTGAACTCAACCCAGCCGAGCCCAGTCCAACCAATAAAATGAAATGAAACGAAACGAGACGCCTTGCTCTTTATGTATTCTAACCTTTTTTTGTTGTTTTTAGTGGTTGATATATCTCATGTATCTGATGTTTGTTAACCCATGTGATAAGTGCTCACAGTTTTTTGTTGAACGTTATCTTGGGTTATCGTGGTAGATGTCCTATGTATTAAGAAAACGAATATGAACGTATTGTTTAACGACCCAATCACCTACCAATGAAAACGACCAATCTAAAAATTTCCATAACACTGAGAAATAACGGGTTGGCCGAAAGCCGCATTGTAGCTTCTTAGTAGCTTCACATATGACGAACAAATACTTTTGCGAGATATGTGCAAAAGCTTTCGCGATCAAAAAACATTGTATCGATCTACAGATCAATGTTCAAACTGGTGCAAGCGTAAGTGAATGTTTGAAAACACATCTCCGCAACAATTCAATAGTTATACAAATTTATAGAGAATACTACAAAGAATAGACATCACTGTTCATTCAGCGAGATCGAGTTTTTTTTTTATTTCATTTCATTTCTATATGTTTCATTTTTTTATACTTCATTGCAGTTTATTGTTGATTATCTTGTTTCTATCTGCTTTGCTACCTGTTTTCAAATCAAACTTGTTAAATTGCTTATGTAAAAATTGTTGTATCATATCAGCAACGAGAAAATATTATTTCCTAAGCTTACATTGAGTCTCACCCATAGTCCACCGTTGAGAATTCAAGTCTTTTGTTTTTTTTTGCAAAATATGAATGTTTCCTCGACTTTTTTTTATAAATTGTTTATAAATAGACTTAAATTTTTATTTAAACCAATAATTTTTACAAGTATATCTCAGTGTCATAAAAATCACCTTGCAACAATAGTGCAAACGTTTCCTAGCAAGTACTTTTGATTATCTACAGTTTCATAATTCTCTTTACGATTTTTCTCTATTTTCTACTTATTTCTAATTATTTTGTTTTACTTTACCGCTTTCCATAGTTTTATATTGTTTTACTTGAATTTAATTTTTTTTTGTTTTTTTTTGTTTTTATTTTAAAGTGTTTGTTTATTTATTATGACAATTCTAACGAAACAATTCGAATTCCTTAAACATTAGTAACGAGTAGTGCGGTGTAATCTACTACCCAAATTAAAGCACATTCGTTCGACAGCGTTTTTTACAAATATAGTGCAGCGGCTAAAACCGTTTTACCAAAACGGCTGTGCTTCGTAATAATATAGTAACATACTCTGCGGTTGCGCCCACTAAACTAAAATAGCAAATTTGTTCAACGACGGGCTTACAACCATAACGAAAAGCACAGTAGTATGAAAGTCGTAATACAAAACTACGTTACAATCCGTTCAAATAAATTATGACGCCCAAGTGTTGCTCCTTCTTTCTAATTACTGAGTAACAACGTGTAGCGTGGTATCCCTCTTGTAATATTATAAACAATGCCTTGCCATATATAACACTATAGAAGAAGTCATCACTCAAAGTCATTTCCGTTCAAACAACTGACTGCTCTCTCGATCAACCAAACAAGTTGAAAGCTGAATAAGTCGACGAAAACTCGACTAAATCGAATGAAAAAAGCATCAGTTTACTTGTATTCTTTTCTATTTTTATATAAATTAATAAAAGTTTTCCTACGAGATTAAGGCAAGAAACGCCTTTAAAAACAGTTTAATTTAATATATTTATAATAAAAGAAAACAATAAAACCAATTTTTCATCAACTGTTTTGTTACTACTTTGTTCTATCGTTTTCAACATTGTTTACTACTTAGTACTTAGTACTTTGTACTTACTACTTACTACTATGACTTAGACTTAGACTTAGACTTAGACTTAGACTTAGACTTAGACTTAGACTTAGACTTAGACTTAGACTTAGACTTGTAACTGTCAACAGCGCACATGAAAAATTTAAACTTGAATAACTCGATACAAACACAAACAAGAAAGCGTAGACAAACTATATAAATATATATCTATACTCATAGTCATATTCATACTCATTTTAAACTACTCTTTCGCCTATTGTCTATTCAAACATAATCATAAACTTTTCATTTATTATTATTTCTTTGCTATTCTTTTCTTTCAACGAAAATCTTTTCAAAGAACCAAGATATATAATACATATTTATATAAATAGACGATCCGTTTGAAAATAAATTGAATTATCTGCAAAAGTTTCAAGAGTTTAAAATTTCAAGACATTTGAAATCACACAAAGTTCAAGTTCTAGTTCAAGTTCAAGTTCGAAAGCACGTTTGATAAACCGTACCAAACGTTTTGATGCTGTTTTATCCATTTACAATCAGTTAATGTCTGTCTTTAGAATGTGCATTGTTCTTTCTGTTTCACCAGACAAACAACCACCAACTCTTCAGTTTTAACGTCGTCTTGCTGAACCGTAGCAAAACAACAGACACGTTTTAAACGTCCATCTATCCTTTCATCATCTATATCGCTCTCGCAAACACACACACACAACACATGCACACAGGTGTAGAGATACACCTACTCTTGTTTTTTCTTTCTTGTGCCATCGCCGTCCCCGGGACACAGAGGCAACGACCCTTGAAGAATCATTATATTCTTCTTCTTCTTCTTCTTCTTCTCTTTTCTCCTTTTCCATTCTCCAATTCTTTTGGTTAGTTGGTTACTTCGTTAGCTAGTTAAAAGAGACGCATAAGATCACTCAAAATATATCTAATCACAAGAACAAATCCAGAGTTTCTCGTGCTAGAATTACAGACAAACTCATAAAAAGTTTTGTCACGAGTATCCCCATCGAAAAACTCATTTGCGATTAAATTCTTGTACCGCGAACTGTTCCAAGCCAAATAAGTAACCGGTATCAACCGTCTCCTCGCCCAAGAACAACATTGTGGGCTGTAGCCCATATCAGCAACATCATGTTCAAACTTTGTTAATCCACACCAAAGACAAAGTCCCCGAAACGTAACGTCCATTGTACACTTGTCTTTGTAGTGATTCGATTTCCGGCACTTAAAACAGGTACCCAAGTCGATGGGGCACTTGCCGTTCTCATGAACTACGAAATTTGAATTGCGGTCCATAATAAGACAAAACAAACATACGTCTTTACATTCGTTGAAGAATCGTTCAACTGACGTTGACTTGTCAAGTGTCTTTGCCCATTGTCCTTTGATGCCTTCAACACGGTTCCCGTATTCCAACATTCTACTATGCTGCAATTGTTGTTGCTGCTGTTGCTGTTGCAATTGTTGTTGCTTTTGTTTCTGTTTCTGTTGTAGCTGTTGTTGTTGATACTCATCATCATCATCATCATCATCATTCCTTCTAATCACAGTGCTTCTAACGGGGCTAACGGGTGAATCATAATCATATGCAGCCATACGGTTCTTAAACGACAAATATGGTGAATGTGTATCGTAAACACTGGCTTTACGTAAACCACCTTTCTCAAGTTCTTCATCGGTGGCTAGTCTACCTGAAACGTGATAACTTTTCTTCAACGTCGGCGAAATAGTAATAGGGGAAGACGAGCTGTTCGGTGTCACCAGTGTTGTCCCAGATAGATCACCACCCAATAGTGGAGTACTACTAGTAGAAGTACCGCTTTTTAAAGAATCCTCCGCTGTTCTACCGTGGCGGCCTTTGGTCTTTGAGCCCCTAAAACAAAAATCATTAGAAAGTCCCGAAATGAGATTCGTAGAAGAAGCAGAAGAAGAAGAAGAAAGCTTCGGGGTTACCACATCCTCCATCTCTTCTAAAGAACGAGAAGAATTATAGTAGCGTCCATCTCCTGTTGATTTTGGCGTCGACGTCTTCAACCAAGCGCAATTTGAAACCCGACTGTTTTCATCTGTATACGAGACAGCGGCCGCAACTTTACCATCATCATCATCATCATCAGCCACATTTGTTCCTTTCCCATGAATGCCTGAAATAGCTGGCTCACTAAGAAACCCTTCTGAGCAACGAGAACAGTAAACACAATTCCCAAACGCAGGGCAGCAAACACACTCGCTATCCATCTCACTTCCCAGAAACGATCGAACACACAACGTATCATCTTTTAAAAAATTCTTCATCGTATCCTCGACATGCTCAGACCACATAGAATCGTGATATTCATAAAAGAGAGCCGCGATAGCATACTTACCATCTCTTCCCGCTCGTCCAGTCTCCTGAGCGTACTCTATACAAGACGTCGGCGATCCATAATGAACTACCAGACGAACTCCACCATAGTTGATTCCAACTCCAAACGCCTTTGTAGCCACCATGATTCTAGTCTTACCATTCGGGTTTCGAAACTTTTCAAAAGAGTTCCTTCGTTCCTCTTCCTCTAAATCTCCTGTGTAAATTGTAACGCCTGTGCGACGGAAAATGTCTGACCGTTGAATCTTTCGTTGCAGGTAATCCACAGTACTCTTCTTTTGGCAAAAAATAATGACACGACCATCACCTTCGTAAACATCAGCTCTTTTCATCAGAGTGTGCAAGTCCTGCAAAAACTCATTTGCCACTAACGGACGTAAAAAGTAGAAAATATTCTCTCGCGCTGTCGACACATCTCTTAAAACATTAAACGTGGCACAAAAAGTTTGCCTGGCACATGACTCCAATTTTCGTGGAAACGTTCCGCTTAAGAGATGAATCGGTGCAAACAAACCCGACAATCTCGACGCCTTTAGCAAAGTACACCTCCAAGTCGTATCCGTCAACAGACTATGTGCTTCATCCACCACCACGCGAGCTAAGCGCCCAGCAACCCCAAGACTTTCAAAAAATGCTAGCCCTGAATTCGATAACGCCGACTCGTACGTAAGAATAAAGAGGTCTGGAAGTTTTAAAGACGGAGTGACCTGTTGGTTTCGGTATTGTGTCCAGCTACTACAACATACAAGTTGTCCTGCTCGATTCACTCTTTGCATCAAATCTTCCCTTAAAGACATAACAGGCACTAGAACAAGCGTGGTCATGCCTGGTCGAACTTTTTTATCAACCAACGCTGGTAATAAAAACGAAAATGACTTACCCGATGCAGTCGGAAGTACAGTAATCAAATTTACCCGACCTTGTATGGAAAATAAGACTGATTGAAACTGTTTCATAGATCGAAACTTTGCACCCACTCCACAAAATTGCGACAATGCCCAACAACAAAGTTGTACAAGTAATTGCGAAGGGTAAGCGCAACCAATATTGTAATCTGTCCACAGCTTTTCAGTCGTTTTCGGAATACTAGTAGCCACAAGATTTGTAGACTTTGTAACACGTCCTGCTGCAGCTGGAGCTGGAACTGCAGCTGCAGCTCCAAATCCACGTTTACGTTTATATCCACTAGAGGCAACATCATTATCATAATCATCATCTTCTTCTCCTTTTTCTCCTTCGTCTCCTTCGTCTCCTTCGTCTTCTTCGTCTTCTTCAACTTGAAGTCTTGCTTTCGTCGTTGTCGTCGATGATGGCAAACACTTTGCTTGTAATCCCAATTTGTTTTCCAATTTGGCAAATTCTCCACTATATACATAATACATTCGTTCCTCAAGTTGGTCAATCCTTTTGATAATAGGGTTACCCGGCTCCACCAGCAGTCCATGAGTGGAATTCTCTTTGATTTGTAATAACTCTTGCCATTTAAAACTTGCTCGAAAAAAGTTGGCGAAATAGTCTGCGGGCAAGTAATGCAAATTATCCATCGTACGTCCATAGATAAGAAGCGCCGTGCTCCGAGTATGTCCAGCCTGTAGATCGAAATACGAATTTCTGCTCAAGTCGTTCTCCTCCAAGTTTTTTTCTTTAAAGTAATGAGCAATATGTCGATAATTTCGGAAACCTAAAGCTTTTCGAATGCAATCATGTGTTACTTTCGGAAATATTCGATACGGCATATTACTTTCCAAGCGTTTCCCACCATTCACAACAAACATCGCATTCGTATACACGGAAGCTGCTTTCCTGTCCCCCGTCATCATATAACTCAAGAAAGCCTGAAAAGGTCGTACTAGAGCATAGTATCGAAGTGCCAAATTAGACAGAGCCTCAGGCAGAAATCGAGGAATCGGCTTTTCTGCAAACTTCATGTTTCGTGTCTTATCATACCGGCTATAAATCATTAATCTTCCAAACATCAAATATAGCTCTCGCGACTTGTGCTTTGAATTCTTCAACGTCCAGTATACCATCTCTTGAGCTCTCGCTGGCTGCCCTGCAGAGATATAGACCAAACAAAACAACAACTCATTCAATTTCGTCGCCTTCATTTCATAATTCACAACAGCAGCTTTTGACCACCGTAAATCCTTCAAGAAAACCTCATCAAAATCTGCCAATGATGACAAGTGTGGCTTTGGCTTTGGCTTCGTCGAATCTTCTTCATTGTTGTCGTCGTCATCGTCGTCGTCTTCGTCTTCGTCTTCGTCTTCTTCTTCTTCTTGGCTTGTTTCATCTGTAGCATTAACTTTGTTCACTTCCAATTTTGTCTTCTTTGCCTTCTTGGTCTTCGTCTTGGTCTTGGTCTTCGTTTTCGTTTTCGTCTTCAACAATTCTGCAATAAAATTGTACAAATCATCCCTGGATACGGCTGGTAAAAATCGATGTCGAAGTTCATCATTCTTAAATACAGTTCGCAACAACACAGTTTTGCTCATTCGAATATCCATTGACTCTTTAAAAAATGAATACCCAAGCCTGCTGTTGTTGATATCATCACCTATCGATTGTATCAGAGAACTTGGCAAAAGCTTTTCCACATCCACACCAAAACACAGCTCTTCAAAAGCCAACTGGAGTTTTGCAAACATAGTCTCATACAGTTCATGCAGATCGTTTATGTCAAAGACAACCATATTGTTTATATGGCTTCCAATATAAGGGTACTTGGAATTGTTGGAGGGTTGAAACAACACCGTGGTTGGGCTCAAACCTTGCAAAACATTCGCATATCCTTCTGTTCTGGTCACATCACGAACAACTTTCTGCGTTTCGTATAAAACATCGTATAAATTCCTTTTTCCCAGTGAAATAAAGCGAAAAACATGGGTATATGCAAAAGAACCCGCCATATGAAACTCTGGTATCGACGATAAAGTGATTCGTCCTTCATCGACCAGCCGTTGCAATTCACACACAGCAACCAAACGACACGTATAAATAAGTGGGGCAAAGAACGACGAGATCTCAAACGCATACTTGGAGGTCCCGTCACCACGCAAAGACAAGCATGCCAAGAACTTGACTATTTCCGTGTTTCGAACATTCTGGGAAAATTCATACTGCTGCAGAAAAGCTAGCTTTAATGCTTCATGTAATTCAGAGTATGCAGCATCCTTTTGAAAGTAAAAACCCTTTCTATCTTGCTTTTCGCTTTTCTTTTCTTCATCGTAAACATTGTCGCCGTCGTCGTCAGCAGTACCAGCAGCAGCACTTTCATTCTCATCCTCATTTTCATTCTGCTGACGCTTTTCCTCCTCTTGCTCTCTCTTCATCTGCAAAGCACATTCACGTTCACGTTCAGCTTCCTCAGTTTCATCCAATATTTGCTCTCGCAGAGCTTCTTTGTCCATACAAACGTCGCCGCCATCTCCATCAAGGTCATCCTCAACATAATAACTATTACCATTAGCGACATCAGCAATAGCAATAGCTGCACTAGCTTCTGCTTCTGCTTCTGTTTCTTGGGTTTCTGCTTCTCCGCGTTCAACTTGAGCATTGTCGTCGTTTTCCACTTGCTGCTCCTTTTTCCTTTTTCCGGCTTTGACTTCAGCAACAATGCTACACATCCTTTCCAAATGTCCGCGAATGGTCTCACTTCCAGGTCGTCGCAATAAAAACACCAAATATTGGGCTACTCTTTGCGAATATCTAATGACTGTACCCTTTTGTTCTAATTTACTTAATCCACGCTCTTGAGCACTATAGTTTCCACCTTCCGTAAACATCTTTTTCGTGCCAGTCATCATCCAATCCAAGTATTGAAATCCCCGGTAGTAATAACGAATCAATTCTTCTAGAATAGTTTCCGAGTTTAGCGTTCCATCCACGTATTGAAAACGGATCAATTGTTTCCAGTCATTGCCCAGTGACTTGACAATCGCTCCCCATCCAAGTTGTTGGTTAATTAGACTTTTTTCGCGTGCATTCACCGTATCCTCGACGTCGTCATTTTCATTGTAATAATCTTCGTTGTAATTTTCATTATCATTTCCTCCATCCTTGAGGCCGTCATCACCGTTGTCATTAGCGTTAGCGTTAGAATCACGGTTCATGTATTTCTCAAACCATAAATCTATCATCCAATCCATGGTATTCTGTCCATCTTCCCCCACCACAGGAGCAAAATCCACCTTGAAAAACTGATGTCTCTGAACGCTTTTGTTCTTTACCGATTGCAGCGATACGCGTCGTGTACAATCTTTCATACTCAATGTTTTTCCATGATGTCGTCGTATATGATGATAAAACGTATCAAGATTTCCATGTACATAGCCTCCTCCATTGTCATAACAAATTACACACTCGTATCCATTCAATAGAACTGGTAATCCTGCTATGTGCGGATATAAATCACATTGGGAAGAGCGGCAGTTGGAAACTATTGACGGACTCAACAGCTTCCAATCATTCAGCTCTCTACACAGATCATCAGCGCGTTCAATGTGAAGTTTGTGAAATCTTTGCATATGTCGCTTCAAATACTCCATATCCAAAAGGCACCCACATTCCACGCAAGATAAAGCTCGTATCGACAAAATTTGCAAACCATAGGTAGCTAACTTTTGGTTTATATGGTAAAAAGGTGATTGTTTGGAGCAGGAACGATCGTCTTGGGTAACTTGCCAAATATTTTTTTCTCCAATACCAATACCGCCGACATTAGTACCGTTGTCATCATCACTTTCAACATCAATCCTCGCAACAGAAGATGCAGTTTTTCTTGCAGATGGCTCAAGGTGATTAGAAGTATGAGTATGAGTATGAGTAGCAGTACCAGTAGAATTAAAATTGAAGATTAGTTTAGAAAGATTCTGAAGAGGTAAAGTATTCTCATTGTTCATTTTCTTGGAGGTTTTCGTTGGCGTCGAGTTCATAATCGCATTCGTGTTGACATTATAAGCTTGGGAATCCACTTTGGTTTTCTTTGACCTTGTTCCATAGTGTTCATCGTCATCTTCATCATCATCATCATCATCATCATCATCCTCATCCTCATCGTTAACAACAACAACAGCAGATCTTAATTCGTCACCCTCAGCTTCTTCTTCATCATCTTCATCATCGTTCACCACCTCCATATGATTCATATGATCCATATAAGAACAGTTGGTACTTTGGGTGGTTTTCGTCGATTCCTTTGGTTTTTCTTCTAGCTGTTCACCAAACCAAAGACACCGTCTCACATGCTGCATAACTTTTTGGGGAAACCTATATCGTTTTTTGCAATTACAAACAAAGTATCCATCTTCATTTCGAATCATCTTTACAACATTATCAGACTTACCATTTATACATGATGACAATGCAACATTGACGACATTTTGATGAGACTTTCGATGGTGATATTCCAGAGCACTCGTGGTAGAAAAAACTTGACAGCAAAATTTGCAAGAAAGCATCGTTATTTTTACTTTTCTTTTCCAAAGAAAGTTAAGTGCTCACTAACTAACTAAGTTTTAAAACTTTTTTTTAGTATAGCTAGCTAGTTAGCTAGTGTTAGTTAGTAGTGATTGTATAATTATCAAAAACAACAAAAGACGCTTGCAATCAGAAAAAGCCATTTCTTGAAACAAGCTATATATATATATATATATATATATATATATTATGGAACCATATTTTCTCTTTGTATTCTTTTTCGACAAAGAATCACTGATATTTATACAATTGAAACAATTGAAACAATTGAACAAAAGAAATAAAGAAAACGCAGTCCAAACAGAGCCCCTTGAAAATTTCACCCTATCGGTAAAAACTATCACATTATCTAGTGATGTAGATAAGATAATTACTTTTCCGCATTTTTATCAGAAAAATCACTCCTGACTCAGTGGTCATATGATTTTTAATTTTTTCTATAAAGTTCTATTTGAGGGAGTCAAGAGTTCGAATCCTACCTTTGCACCTATTTATTGTTTATGGGTATTCTACTACCACTTAATTTTAAGCATTACCCTTACTACATCCAAACACAAAGTTTTTCGCTAATAACTCACGATTGAGCGCACCAAATCGCTTCAGAACAACTTTAAAAAAATTGTATTTTCTTTTTACATTGAATAAAATAATAAAAAAATTATCTCATCAACAAGCCTTGAAACTTGTTGTAAAAAATATTTCAATAATTAAAACTTTATAATAAAAATGAAATAAAACCAAAAAAAATTTCGGTAGAACCACTTGGTAGTATACCACTTTGTCAAACCCACGTAGCGTATACCAAGTTTCGTTCAACAACGGGTTTACTACTATAGCGACAAGCACAGTAGTTTGAAAAGAGGTAATACAAAATTACGACACAATCCACTCACATAAACAATGACGCTCAAGAGTTGCTCCTTCTTTTAAATTACTGAACCATACCGTAAAGCAAGGTATGCTCTTGTAGTATTTCGTTCAACCGTAACGAAAAGAACAATAGTTTGAAAGTGGCAATTACAACATTACGTTATAATCCACTCGAATAAACTATGACACTCAAGTGTTGCTCCTTCTTTTTAATTACTGAATCAGAACGTGTAGTGTGGTATCCCTCTTGTAATATTATAAACAATGTCTTGCCATATATAACACTATAGCAAACTTTATTATCCACCACCATGAGTACTACCACTTCTTTTTAAGCATTATCCTTACCGGTTCTAAACACAAACTTTTTTGCTTATAACTCATGATTGAGCGCACCAAATCGCTTCAGAACAACATTAATAAAATTGTATTTTCTTTTTACATTGAATAAAATAATAAAAATATTATCTCATCAACAACCCTCGAAACTTGCTCTAAAAAATATTTTAATAATTAACAAATTATAATAAAAATTAAATAAAAGAAAAAAAAAAAATTCGGTAGAACCACTTGGTAGCATACCACTTTGTCAAACCCGTGTATACGTATACCAATTCTGTATGCGTATACAGTTTTTCGTATTCGTATTTCGTCGTATACCATCTCCCGTATACCACTTCGTATACCTTATCTCACGTATACCATACCACTTCGTATTCGTATACCATCTCCGTATACCACTCCGTATTCGTATACCATTCACTTCGTATGCGTATGCGTATACCAACTTCGTATCCGTATACCAGAAACTACTACCACCAATTTTTAGGCATTACCCTTACTACTCACAACAAGTGCCAACTTTTTGATGTAAACACAAAGTTTTTCGGTAATAACTCATGATTGAGTGCACCAAATCGCTTCAAAACAACTTTAATAG